CAAGACTGTTCCCTAAGACAATTTGCAAAGAAACCAAAGGCTTCAAAAGTCAGAATTTAATTAGGAGCCAGGGTACCAATCAGTTCCCCAAGTGTCCCGGGCTACGTACTGTTCTTCTTTTGCACTCACTAATTTCACATTATTTTTTCGTTTTTACTGCTTATATGTCCCACAAGATGGCTATAATCAACTTTTACTTTTACTGACTAGCATTGACAGAAGCAATTTTCTTACGTTCACATCTATTTCACATAATAAACATGGCGCATGCCTAACATCAATTCTGTTGTCAGTTGACCTTACACCTGTAATTGTCACTGACTTAACAATTGGGAGAAATTTCAGTAAGACAGGGTTATACTATCAACTTAAAATTATTGACATCCAACATGGTTGCAAACTACAAAATAACTAAGCAATACATATTACCTTTGAATCGCTTGTCATCAACCCAAATCCCATTTCTTTTAATTTCTTCTTTGCGTTTGTTGAGATTAACAAAAAGGTTTCTCAGGTCTTTCCTTGAAAATAAATATCAAAAAGGCATCAAGTTTCATTCACAATAACAAGGGTATGCATAAGGCTTTGTAATCATTTACTGAGGGTAAGTTTGGACTCACACCTATTGGTTATCAATACAAAAACTAAAACTGTCTAAACCTCATGCTGAGATTGTTATCTAAACTTTTTAGTTCACTAGAATGGACTTGCAGCAGCAATTCAGATTGTTTTTGCTCTTTCAGGAAGGAATAGAATGTTTTCTCTAACTTTGTGTTTTATGTCACAATTCACCGAGTTAACTCCACCAGTAGTTTATTCTAAGCTGTTTAGTCACAGCAATTTTATCTGGATCGGAAACACTGTGCCAGATGTCAAAAGTTTTCAACTATTATTTAGCTCACTACCGGTACTTATTGTAAAGTACATTCAGGCAGAAGTCCAGAAGTTCATAGTTCTGTACCATACAATGTTCTGTACTCTGATAGTGACAGAAATGCCACAAAACGCAATAAGAATGAAGATCTATGCCGCTTGGCATGTATTCCTTTGTTCACATAATGTTTTTGCATCGTCTGTGCATTATTAGAGTATGGTTGCATAGCCAAATGAAATCTATGTGTCAAATAGATAAGATATCAACAAATCAATGATTACTGACAAATCTCTTTTCTTTACAATTGGCTATAGCCAGAGGATAGACAGATTTGGCGCTTTGAGAAGATCGATGCTTTGCATCAAGGGGAACAACACCAACTCTCACTTGATCCTTACCTAAAATATAAAAAAAAGTATTTCACAGAAATAAATTCTTGGAAGAACACTAAATGCTGGAATAATAAAAGTAGTATGGCATCAACATCAACTATATATAGAGGAGGAACAATTCAATGGACATAGCTTTATGTATTAATTTTTGTGAAACACACGCGAAATTGAAGTACACAACATTGTTCCAAACGGACATCCTAACGGCTTATAGTTTTTCAGTTAATAATGCTTGACCTGTCATTACTGTTATTTAAAATAAACTAAATTAGTTAGAAAGTAAAATATCATGAATGACGAAAAATGACAATGATTTTAATATTACTTACTTATTAATATATTTCTTTCTGTGTACTTACCAAAGAAAGGGCGTCCATCAATCTTTAGATTAAACACAATGTCATCAGGGAGTGAACCATGCAG